GAATTAAATGCTGAATTCATATTCCATTTTCTGATGGTTGCAGCTGGAATGCTTATATCCTCAATGGTGAATTAAATGCTGAATTCATATTCCATTTTCTGATGGTTGCAGCTGGAATGTTTATATCCTCAATGGTGAATTGGAGCATTCAGTCTCTGTGACAACACAGCAAGCCAATTGAGGCAGTGAAGAATGATGTTTAAAATTCACCATTACCAACCTCATCACCTCTGGCTCATTATAGCAATGTATTGATCTTTAGATCTGACTAAATTAAATTTAATCTAGAATTGTAATCTGATTATAAAAGTAGAGCATTTATTCTGCAAGAAGGTAACTTTGTTTTTGGAAAGCTGAGCCTGAGGGAGTAAGTCGTTTTGAAATGAGATAAAATCATCATTTTACAAGTACTTCACAATTATCTTTATATTATGTTCTTTGTATTTATGCATGACTCAAAAATAGGTGGACGGAGAGGTAGCGTAGAGGAGGCAGGGAGGCTGCGGAAAATCTTGGACAGGCTGGGAAAGCAGGCAAAGAAAAGGCAGATGGAATACAATGTGGGAAAGTGTGTGAGGTTACATGCTTCGATGGGAAGATTAGAGGTGTAGACCGGGTTCTAAATGGGGAAGGGCTCTGGAAATCTCAAGCATAATGGAATTTGGGAATCTGAGATTAGGATTCTGTTAAGGTTATCATGCAGGTTCAGTTGGCAGTTAGGAAGGCAAATGCAATGATGGCATTCATTTTGAGAAGGCTAGAATACAGGAGCAGGGATGAACTGCTGAGGCTGTGGTCAGACCACATTTGGAATATTATGAGCAGTTTTAGGGTGTATATCTGAGAAAGGTTGTGCTGGTGTTGGAGGAGGTCCAGAGGAGGTTTACAAAAATAATTCTGGGTTTGAAGGGCTTATCAACTGAGGAGCAGTTGAGGACTCTGGGTCTGTACACGGTGGAGTTTAGAAGGATGAGGGGTGGATCTGATTGAAACTTATAGAATACTGAGAAGCCTAGATAGAGTGGACGTGAAGAAGATATTTCCACTAGACTAAGACTGAGGACACAACCTTCAACTGAAGGGATGACACTTTAGAACTGAGTTGAGAAGGAATTTGTTCAGCCAGGAAGTGATGAATCTGAGGAACTCATTGCCATAGAAGGCTATGGAGGCCAAGTCATTGAGTGTATTTAAGACCGAGATAGATAGGTTCTTGATTAGTAAGGGGATCAAAGGTTGCAGGGAGAAGGAAGGAGAATGGGATTGAGAAATAAATCAGCTTTGATCGAATGGCGGCGCATACTCGATGGGCCAATTGGCCTAATTCTCTCCGATGTCTTATGGTCTCATAAACTGTACAGTAGCTGGTGTCCAACATAGGCAGTTGCAATCTTCAATACCCATAAACGTTCCTAATTATTCCTCACTTAAATCATGCATTTTTTTTTAAAAAGCTCAAACTTTTCTATTATAAGTGTAAGAGCATTCTACATGCAATATTATACTTATTAATTCATTCTCAGGATTTGGCATTACTGACCACACTGCTTATATTGCACATCCCTAATTTTATTGACACTGTGGTTGAGAAACAAATGCAGAGCATTCTCTGTTCTTTGTTTCAGATTTTCAGCATCCACAGTTTAATGTAGTTGAGACACTTCTTGAACTTTTTCAGATAATAACCCAGTTCCCTCTTTAGTGCTTTGATTCTGTCTCTACCATATTCTGAGATGGTGCATTCCAGACCTTAATGATACAATGCCTAAAAAAAGTTTCTCCTGGTGTCACCAAGTTGCTACAGTGTATGTGATGCACATTGCTGTCATTGTGCGTCAGTGGTGCGGAAGTGAATGTTTAATGTGGCTCTTTGTCTTGGATATTGTTGAACTTCTGGGTGTTGGACCCACAAGCATTCAGTTAAGTGGGGAACGTTCCAACACATCCCTGACTTGTTGCCTTGTAGATGGTGGACAGGCTTTAGGGAGATGGGAGGTGAGTTAAATACCACAGAATGCCCAGCCTCTGACTTGTTCTTGTAGCCACAATATTTAAATGGCTAGTCCAGTTCCATTTTTGGGTCAGTGGTAACTTGCTGGACACTGACAGTCTTAGTGATGGAAATAGCATTGAATGTCAGGGGGAGATGACTCAGTTCACTCTTGTTTGTTGTTGCCTGTGTCATTAACTTTATTTGCTACTCCTCAGCCAATGCCTGGATCTTGTTTAGTTCCTGCTACGTATGGACACTGCTTGCATCTGTTTCTGAGAAGTTGTGAGTTATGCTGTGCACCATTCAATCATTATTGAATGCATAGAATTGTGACTTTATAATGGAGGGAAGTTCGTTTATGAGACATCTGAAGATGTTTCGGCCCTGTACTCTTATCTTGAGGAACGTCTGCAGCAGTGTCCTGAGTCTGAAATGATTGACATCCTTTGTACTGGGTATGACCACAGTTAGTGGAGAGTTTTCTGCCTGATTCCTATTGACTTCACTTCTTTGCTAAACTTGCATGGTGGTGTATTCAGTCAAATGCTGCTTTGATATCAAGGACAGTCATTCTCATCTTTGGAATGCAGTCCTCCTTTTTTCATGTTTGGACCGAGGCCAATGAGATCAAGACAGCTCTGAGATAAATGAGCAAGTTATTACTGAATATCAATGATGCTTCCCTCACTTTGCTGACAGTCATGAGGAGCATAACAGATTGGTAATTGGTTGGATCAGATTGGTCCCACTTTATCAGGACATGCCAGGGCAATTTTCCACTTTGTCAGATGCCAGTGTTGTAACTGGCTAGAAGACTGGCTTGTTCTGGAGCACAAATCTTCAGTGCTAATGCCCAAAAGGTATCTGGGCTCATTCTATCCAGTGTCTTAAGCCATTGCACATAGCAAGCTTCCTCAAGCAGAAATCTGGTGATGACCAATATAGTCTGTTTTTTTTGTTTGTTGATACTGAAACAGTGGCACAGTGCTGACCAGGTGGGAGAGCTTTCTGATTCGGATGTGGGAAAGCTGCCAACTGAGCCACAGCTCTCACAATGCTGTCTATTTTATTCCTCGTAGTGGCTTAATATAGTTGAATGGCTTCCTCAGTCATTTCAGTAGGCATGTAAGAGCCCAGCAGATTGGTGTTGGATTGGGGTCTGACCTGCTATGCTTTTCCAGCCTCTCACCTATAGTCTCTGGCTTCCAGCATCTGCAGTTCTTACTGTCTCGAAGTGGCCTCTTAGTTCCTTATCCTTTATCCTTAAGTGGAACTGATTACTCTTCTGAACCTGACTGACCGTCCAGCTTCGAAAGCTGCCAGCTGCCTTTAGTTACACGAAGAACTGTGTCCATATCCATTAGTAGAGTGTCCTAGTCAAAATTCCAGAGAGTTTCTGTTTCATCCTTCAATCCCCAGCATAGATTCGGCAGGCCCAACTTTACAGAATTGATAGATTGGAACCTCAACGTCCCCAAATTTTTTTTTCTTAGCTGTTTTCATTGACATCATGTAGAGTTTAGCGTGGTTATTTGCCTTCTCTGTTTTCCTTCAGTGATATACCTCAAAAAAGTGACGGCTCACTAGAGAATATGGTGATTGGTGAGAGGCCGGAGGTGGTTTACCATATGTTCCATATGATGCTGTTTGGGTCATTGGCACTGATGTTCCAAGGGTAAGTGTGTTGGTAGAAATCCTGTGAGCTGTTTTAAAGTGATGCTTAGAAATAGAGATGTCTTGCAACTTGCACGGGATTATGCAGTAGATGTAAGAATGCTAGTAGTCCACCACCAACCTCATTACAGAAGTCTGTATTAAAAAAAGCTAATAATAACTGTAGATATGAGTAGAATTTAGTCACATTCTTCTTGTTTCAGTTCAAACCTCATTCGTGTCAAGTAGGGTGACAGAATTAATTTGTTATGGTAAATCTATCAACAATTTTTTTAAAAATGGAAATAAATGACATTTGCTTCCACACTGATTAATTTCATAATCATGATCCCTTCATTGTGTGACTTTTGTAAAGGATAACAGTAAATTTTGTGTGCGTGAGGGAGAAAGATGAAACAAATTTGATCCTATCATCACCTGACATTCACATGGGCATCTTGCAAAGGATAATAGTCTGCACAGGAACTATGGGTTACTTTCTATCTTTGTTCAGGCTGCTGAAAATGAGTTTAGCGTTCCCATTTCGATGCTGTTTAAGATCCATTGTCCATTAGCTTAGCGTCACCATTGTTTGAAGCTACATCCTTCGTTGTCTGTACAGCTTAGACTGACACCCACTAGTGATTTTCCTAGTGGACATGAAGTTACTACAATGTAAAAGATTAGATGTTGTAATTTGTGGTAGGATGGTAAGTCTTATTTCAAGCAATTTTTTAATTAACTTTTAAAGGGGGTGGACCAGAAAATAAATATTAGTAAGATGTGGCTAGCAAAAGGAAATCAAGTGCACCTTTCTACTTTTGGGGCATACGTTAGATCTTGCTATTGTTTATCCTTGTACTGTTAAGATAGGGTCAGTTTGGTTAGTACCCAGCAGGTGGTGCTGTTGAGCTTCTTGTATGTAATTATGTAATATGGCTCACAAGTAGAAATTCTGACAGGGTTACCTGGCTAATTTCTGTTTGTGGTGTTTATTGCGAAAACTTGAAGGTTTTCCTGTAATAACTCTTACTATGCATTGTGTTTTCACAGCTTAAAGTATTTATGGACTCCTTATGCCTGTATGTTCACTGCCTTTGGTGTTTGCTCTCCTGAGATGTGGATTACTGTATTTAAGTGGTTGCGACTCAGAACAGTCCCTCCAGTGCTGCTGGTGAATTCAGAACATTCCTTTAGAGAATTGAAGACCACAAGTTTTTAGAATTCTTTTTTACAGAGTAATTTTGTTTTGTATTCTCTTTAAATTTAGGCACTTATGTTAAGCACCGCAGTTCCAACAATAATAGGGTTCAGCATGTGGAAGGATGTGAGTATATTTGCACATTTTTGGTTTCTTTATTGTGATGTGTTAACAAACACATTTGTTAATCAGATATGTCTTGAAATCCCATTGGAAAGTGCAGGGTAGTTCAGATAATAGAAAGATGGCAGAAGGCTATTTCTGGGCAGGTGATAGTTTTTAGTTCTTGGCTAGGCTAATGGTATAGTCTGCGTAATTCATTTTAAATATGACTCCTTTTCATTTGCTTTAAAGTTAGATAATTGAGAACCATGGTTAATCAATTGCCCCATGGCTGAGGAATTGTAAGAAATAAAACATGTAGAAAGGAAGTAAAAATGAGATTAGGAAGGCCTAGGGGAAGTTTAAAAGATTGTGGTTAAAGTGGAAAGTAAAGAGGAAAGCAAAGGTGCATATAAGGATATAATGGGTGAAATAATAGTCAAAGAATGGGTGGCACGAATAGATGAAGAAAGCATCTTATGCTTGGAAATGAAGAATGTGCAAATGTTTAAATATTTGTCATATGCTTGTAATGATCCTGTTAGCATCCATTAATGTTCAGAGAGAAATTTGGTTGCACTGTGGTTAACTTACAGAACTACATCAGAACATTTTCCAATTTTATACAAAAACAAACTTTACTGTTATGATAAGAATATGGCAAAACAAGTACTATTACCATAAAACTCTAGCTTATAACTGCAAACCCTACAAATTCAGTTCTGCATTTTATTTATCTGCCCCTCAAAAGTTCCCTTACATATTTCAAGAATCTTTACAGTTCATTCACTTCTTTAGGGATCAACCTAAAGATATGCAACAACCCTCCAGAAGTTTTTTACAAGTGGTAGTGAATCTAAATACAAAAGTCATGAGATTCAGATAATAAGTACGGAGAATTTTTAAGGATATTGGGAAAAGAAAGCAGAGACACTCACCATCATTTTCAAACAAATTAATGCAATGTGAAAAAAGAAACTGATATGGTCAGCTATTCAAAATATGGAACTAGATTACTAGGAAACTTTAGGTCACTAAATAATCTTGGTTCAGAGATAATTTCTAGAAATTAGTGCAAAGCATAGACTAATCATGGATTTATAAAGGACAGGTCATGCTTGACAAACCTAATTTATTTCTTTTAAGGAAGTCACAGGGGATCTGTCTAAAGAGAATGCAGTGAATGTTCTTTCTATCTGGATACTTAGAAGTATTTGATAAGATGCTGCTATGAAACTGCCAAGAAATGAAGGAACATGAATATCAAAGCCACACAGATGAAGCGATAGGCTAGGGCTGAAAGCAAAGGGCAGGAATTAGTTGATTGTTTTTAAGCTCAGTGTGATCAGCTAACTTATGCTGCAAAGATCTCTCTTGTTTTCCATTTCTATCAAAGGCTTTGACTGGAACAAGCCGAATACTATTCAAGTTGGCTGAAACTTTAAAAGACAGGCTGGGAAACTGAGGAAATATGCAGGACATTAAGTAAAAGAAAACCTCCTATTTCTGGCATTGTATCGTCTTGAGTCAGCTGCAGTCGAGTTGATCATAAAGGGAGCCCCTTCTAATCTGCATTTGTAATGTTTCTGTAGGCCAATCTTACTGTCCTCTGCTGCTTAACTATAATGTCTTTCAGCAAACTGTCTTGGACTGTACTCAAGGAATGGTCACTTTTTTTGTTGATTTGCTGAATGATGGATAGTGACTATAGAACTGTACTGTGGGATGTTATTGCTTCAGGAAAAGGGGCGATGTCAGATTTTTAATCACTAAGGGAATCAAGGGTTGTGGGGAAAAGGCTGGACAGTTGAGTGAAGATTATCAGATCAGCCACAATCTCACTGAGTGGCAGAGTAGACTCAACACACTCAATGGCCTACTTCTGACCCTATGTATTGTATCTTAAGGTAAATTGTATTATAACAGTGCATTTCACTTCGTATTAATGTTGTTGCACATCATACATTTAAATTAAAGTACTTTGCACATCAGTTCTTTCCAGATGTAATGGCCGAACTCTCTGAACTTCAGGAATTTTATGATTCTGATACTGTAGAGCTGATGAGCTGGATTAAGTAAGTAGTAACTTTGTGTTTGTATCTGTAAGTGTGCATGTATTCTTTAGTAAAATCAGTAGCTGGGAAAGAAATGAAAAGTGACTGACAACAAAGACTTCGGGCTGTCTGGAAATTTGGCCTTGCATCTCATCCACATGGGACCACTGGCAGTCTACAGATGCCATGCTGTGTCTTGATCCAGTGCATCAGTTGATGACCTAAACAATTTGGCCAACATTGATACGGGGGATACTTTCTGTATGGGGTGCATATATGTGTATATGTGATAGTATATGAACCAAATGCAGTCAATTAGTGAAGATGCTAATTGATCTAGCTTTTGCTGCTAATGTGTATTTAATTACCAGTTTTTGAATTTAACTGAGGATTCTTGGTTTTAGCGCAATTCCTTCCGGGCAGAACATAATCTTGCATTTGTAAGCAAATTTAGAAGGAAAGCTGAACATGTTTGGTAAAGCAACAGCAGTTTGTTCAGAGAGAGACCAGATTATCTGTTAGTTCAGAGCGGAAGAAGTGTCACCAGTCTGCACAATTGAACCTTTTGGACAGATCCTGCTCAGCATACAGCTGAGCCACACAACTTTAGTTGAATACTCCAACTTCATGCATAATTGTATTTTCATTTGATGCCTGACATTGCATTTTATTACAGAAATCACACATCAGTGAATTTTCAAAACACATTACCTCGCATTGAACTATGTCTAAGAAGCAAAATAATTTACATCTTTAGTAACAGCTGGATAGGTCAAGAGCAGGAGTGAAAATATACTCAACTCCAATCACTGTTGTTTCTGTTATAGTTTGCAGTATCACTTTTTCTCTTGTCTGGTAATGAAGATGGCTAAAGAAATTTGGTGAGGTTATTAAAATCCATTCATTTCAAAATATTTTCAAACCTCCAAATTCTTTTCTATGATCCTATTTCTGATTTAGTTTCAAGTACTTTGTTCCTTACAATTGGTGGCGATATCTTACAGAGCCATTGCAGAACTCAGACTCATTTTCTACATGCAATGAGAGATTTTTGATATCAGATTTGATTTTCTTTATGGTTTGTTCTTTGCCATAATTTCTTTTTAAACAACAAAACAAGGAGTAGGAGTGGGCTATTCAGCCCATTTGTTATGATCATGGCTGACCCTTTATCTCAATGCCATACCCCTTGATACCTTTAACATGTGAAAATTTATCTATCTCTTTCTAGAATATATTCAATGACTTGGCCTCCGTTGTTTTCTGTGGTAGAGAATTCTAAATGTTCACTCTCCTTTTGAGTGAAGAAATCTTTCCTTATCTCAGTCCTAAATGGTCCACCCTGTATCTTGAGACTGTGCCCCCGGTTCTAGACTCCCCAACCAGGGAATCTAGTCTGTCCAGCCCTGTTAGAATTTTATATGTTTCAATCAGATCCCCACTCATCATTCTAAATTCTAGTGAATGCAGGTCCAGTCAAACTAATCTCTCCTCTTAGAATAACCTGCTATCCTCGGTAATAAGTCTAGTGAAACTCTTTTGCACCTCCTTTATGGGAAGTTTAACCTTTTCTTTGGTAGGGAGACCAAAACTGCACATAATACTCTGGTGTAATCTCACCAAAACCCTGTACAACTGCAGTAAGGCATCCCTACTCTGACCTGAGATCCTTTTGCAATGAAGGCCAAATATCATTTGCCTTCCTGATTGCTTGCTGCACTTGCCTGTCTACTTTCATTTACGTAAGTACAAGACACCCTGAATTCTATGTAATCCACATTTCCCAATTTATCACCATTTAATTAATGCTCTGCCTTTCTGTTTTTCACACTAAAGTGTAAAACTTCATATTTATTCATATTATTCTGCATCTGCCATGTGTTTGCCCGCTCACTCAAATTTGTCTAAAACACCTTGAAGCTCTTTTGCATCCTCCTCACAACTCTTAATCTCCCCCAGTTTTGACATCAGCAAACTTGGACACATTGTATTTGGTTCCCTCCTCCAGGTCATTTACTTATATATATCCTATAAAAAACTATTATAACTGTCCTTGCACTAGTTAGTAGCTGCCACCTGGAAAAATACCCATTATTCCCACTCATTGTTTCCTGTCTGATAAATGATTCTCATCAATGCCAATATATTACCCCTAATCCCAAATGGTTTAATTTTGGCCACTAACCTCTTTAGTGGGACCTTAACAAAAGCCTTCTGAAGATCCAAATACATCACATTCATGGGTTCTCCATTATCTATTTTACATGAGATTTATTAAGCATGGTTTGCCTTTCATAAAGCCATGTTGACTTTGTCCAATCCTGTTAATACTTTCCAAGTTATCATGTCAGATAGTTGGGATTTATCAGCAGGCTTGGGTTTCTAAACAAAAATGTTGTTAATTTCTATCATTTAGGTGTTGATTCCAGCAAAAGAGAAACACTACCATTCAAAGGGTATGCTTCTAAATGGATGCTGTTGCCCTTTTCCCGACTTTCACATGAATCACGTATCAGTTTACTGCTTCTAAGAATGGGCAAGACATTGAGTGCTTTACAATTTTACACTACATTGTATGTGAAGCACTTTAGGACGTCCTGACTGAAGTGATGAGGAGCCTTCTAAGTGCAAGATTGCTTGATCATTGTTTGTATCCTTACAGTTTGTACAAACCATTTTTTTGTACCAGTGAGCTCGGTTATATATGCCTTTACCTTCAGTATTAAACACATCTGTCACTTCTGTACTTTCAACATTTTGTTTTAACCTTTTAATTTTTTTTATTGCTCTTATTGCCTAGACGACAAACACCAACTGCTGCTGTGTTTGCTGGAAGTATGCAACTTATGGGCACTGTGAAACTCTGCACTGGCCGAACAGTGACCACTCACCCACTCTACTCAGATAGGGACCTACGAAAACGGACAGAAGAGGTGAGTATCGAAAACAGGAATTGCTGGAAAAATTCAGCAGGTCTGGCAGCACAATTTCTGTTTTTGTTTCTGATTTCCAGCATTTGCAATTCTTTGGTTTTTTTTTAGAAGAGGTACTTCTTACAGACTTTAGTAAGATATACACAAAGTCATATGCTGGGTATATTGAAATGACATTATCTATTTTGACATTGTGAACCACTGACTTGAATCAGCACATGTTTTAGGTGATTGCCTGTATATGGACGGGAGCAGTGGTGCAATTGGAAAGTATGTCATTAGTTGTGGAGAAGAATGCTGTGACATAAAGCGTAAAGAAATCAATGAAATTGACTCTAACATCCAGTAATAACAACGGGAATGGAAACAACTGTTAACCCAGTCTGATCAACCCTGCAAAGTCCTCCTTACCAGCACTGGGGGCTTGGACAAATTTCAAGGAACTGTGCCAACAGCTGACAGTCATAGTCATAGTCATAGTCACTGAATCTCATATTACAGAAAACATCTGAGATGCCACCACCATCATCCCTGGGTATGTTCTGTTCCACAAGAAATGATGCAGTATGGGGGAGTTGTGCTGGGAGTCCTCAAAGTTGACCTGAACTTCATTGAGTCTCACGGCATCAGATGAAACATGGGCAAGGGAACTTCCTTCTAATTTCCATCTACTGCCACCCTCGGCTGATGAAACAGTACTCCTCAATGTTGTATAGCACATGGAGGGTGAGAAGGACACAGAATGTACTCTGGTGAGGGGCTTCAATGTCTATCACCAAGAGTGGCTCAGCAGCACTACTATTGACCTAGCTAGTCAGATCCTAAAGGATTAGGTCTGCAGCAAGAGGAAAAATCTTACTGGATCTCTTCCTGTCTAGTCTATCTGTTGCAGATGTCTCTTTCAATGACAACATTGGTAGGAGTAACCTTTGTACAATCCATGTGGGGACGAATGTCCTGACTTCATGGTGAGGATATCCTCCATCCTGTTACGTGGCATCGTCGCTGTGCTAAATGGGACAGACTTCAAACAGATCTAGCAATTCAAAACTGTTCATCAACAAGACAGTATGAGCCATCAGCAGTGGGAAAAGATATTCAACTGTAATCTGTAACCTTATGGTCTGGGATATCTCTCACTCCGCCATTACTAAGCTGGGGGGTCAACTAGGTTTAATGAAGAGTGATGTTGGGCATACCAGGAGCAATTCCAGCATACCTAAAAATTGGGTGACAACCTGCTGAAGCTACAACATGGGATTGTTTGCATACCAACAGAGGAAGCAGCTTGCACCAGACAGGCATATGTGATCCAGCAACCAATGGATCAAAATCTGGCACTGAGTTGTGAAAAGTGGCAGATAATTAAACAACTAACAGGAGGAGGAAGTGCTAAAAATATCCTAATCCTCAACAATGGATGGGGTGCAGCACATTAGTACAAAGTACAAGTCTGAATTATTTATTTCCATTTTCATCTCAGCTTCTTTCAGAGGTCCCTAGCGTCATGGGATGCCTGTCTTCAACCATTTGAGTCTCTTCACATGGTATCAAGAAATACCTGAAGGCACTGGATGCTGCAACACTGACAACATTTGGCAATAGGAGACTTATGCTCCAGACGTAGCCAAGCCCCTAGCCAAGCTGTTTCAACACCGTTGCAACACGGATATTAATCTGGCAATGTGAAAAACTGTTCAGCTATATCTGTCCACAGCAAACCAAATGAATCCAACCCAACCAATTACCACCCCATCAGTCTACTTATCATCAGCAAATTAATGAAAAAAGAGTTGCCATTAATGTTATCAAACAGCAGTTGCGTGGATTAAATTGCTGAGTTTAGGGTCCACCAGAGGCATTCAGTTCCAGATTTCATTACAGCCTTAGTCCAAACACGGACAAAAGAGTTGAACACCAGGGATAAGATGAGAGTGATGGCCCTTGACATCAAGGCCACATTTGACTAAGTGTGGGAATGAGGAGCCCTAGCCAAACTGAATCAGTGGGAATAGGGGAAAATCTCTCCACCGCTTGGAGTTACTCTTGTGACACAAAGGAAGATGGTTATGGTTGTTGGAGGGCAATCATCTCTGCTCGAGGCATCTCTGCTGGGGTTCCTCAGGCCCAACCCTCTTCAGTTGCTTGATCAATGACCTTCCCTCTTTCATAAGTTCAGAAGTGGGGATGATCACTGATTATTGCACTATCTGAGATTTCTTAGATACTGAAGCTGTCCTTGATCTGGATAACACCAAAGCTTGGTCTGAGAAGTGACAAGTAGCATTTGCATCACAAAAATGCCAGACAATGACTAATTTCAGCCAGTGAGAATCTAACTGTTACCTCTCTATGTCAATGGCATTACCATTGCTGAATTCCCCACCATCAACATCCTGCTGGGATTACTCTGGACCAGAAACTCAACTGGAGCAGCTGTATAAACACAAGAGGAGATCAGAGGCTAAGAATTCGCTGGTAAATTACTCACCTCCTGTCTCCCCAAAGCCTGTCCAGAAATGTGATGGAATGCGCTGCATCACCTTGAAGAGTGTGGCTTCAATGACACCCTCCAGGACAAACAGCCCAGTTGATTTGCACCCCTCCCACACTTTCAATATTTACTTCCTTTGTCACACCTGCACAGTGGCAGCAGTGGATACCACTTGCAAGATAAATGCAGTAACTTGCCCGAGTTTGTTTGACAGCACCTTTCAAACCCACAACCACAACCACGTAGGAGGACAAGGGCAGCAGATGCAAAGGAAAACCAACACCTGCAAGCTCCCGGCCAAGTCAAATGCCATCCTGCTTTGGAACTGTATCGCTGTCCTTTCATTGTCACTGGATCATAATCCTGGAACTCACTTCCTTCAGAGCTGTGGGTGTTCCTACACCTCTCAAATTGCTGCAGTCCAACAGGCAGTTTGTCACCACCTTCTTGAGGGTAATTAGAGATGAGCAATAAATGCTGGCCTAGCATGAATGAAGGAATTTAAAAGCAAAAGCAAGAATGTTTCATTGCACGGATGTATAAATCCATGGTTTAGGGCTTTAGATGCCAATTTTCAGCTAATTTCTGAAATCAATTGTTTTGTTACCAGATCTACCAAGTCTATTCTAGAAGATCTGCAGAAGATATTTATATGATTCTGATGTCATATAAAGCTGATTATTTCATAATTGAAGAGGGAATTTGTAATGACATGGGACCAGTGAAAGGCTGCCGAGTAAAGGACTTGCTGGACGTTGCAAATGGCCATGTAAGTTTTTATTAAGGATCTCTTATACATAATTCATGTATCGGTTTGGGAGTAAGTCTGACATGGTATTTGGTTCTGTGAAAACAATATATGCTAAGTACACGCCAGTAATTGTTCCTCTTTTTAGGAACATTGGAGCAGGGGCAGGCAGTTTAGCTTATTGAGCTGTTCTAGATCATGGTTGATCATTTACCTCAATGCCATTTTCCCATCCTCTCTCTTAAGTATCCTTTGATCTCATAAGTATCTAGAAATCTATCGGTCTTGGGGCAGTATGTGGCTCAGCGGTTAACACTGCTGCCTCACAGTGCCAGGGACCCGGGTTTAATTCCACCCTCTGGCAACTGTCTGTGTGGAGTTTGCATGTTCTCCCTGTGTCTGAGTGCATTTCCTCCAGGTGCTCTGGTTTCTTCCCACAGTACAAAGACGTACAGGTTAGGTGGATTGGCCATGCTAAATACCTTTAGAATTCAGGGATGTGCAGGTTAGGTGCGTTAGCCGTGGAAAATGCCGGGTCACAGGGAAAGGGTAGGGGGATGGGTCTGGGTGGGATGCTGTTCAGAGGGTCGATGTGGACTTGTTGGGCTAAATGGGCTGTTTACACACTGGGGGAGGTTCTATGGTTCTATCTTGAATGTGCTTGATGACTGAGCTTCCATAGCCTTCTGGTAAAGAATTCCATAGATGCACAACACACTGAGTGATTCCTGTTTATCTCAGTCCTAAATGGTTTGCCCCTGATTCTGAGACTCTGTCCTCTGATTCTAGACCCTTCCTAATAAGGGGGAAACATCCTTCCTGCAACTATCCTGTCTACCCCTTTGAAGAATTTTTCAAGTTTCAGTGATATCCCTTCATATCCTTTTAAAGTCTAAGGAATACAGGCCCACTGTCTACAATCTCTCCTCTCGGACAATCCTGCCATTCAGTATGGTGAACTCCCGCTGCTTGGGTAAGGGACCAAAACTGCACACGCTATTCCAGGTGAAGTCTCAGCAAGGCTCTAGATAATTGCAGCAAGGCATCTGGAGTCTTGTACTCAAATTTTCTTGCAAGTAAGGATGGTAGTTTGCTGTACTGGTAGTTTCCAGTGTGCTGTTTGCCTTCCTAATTGCTTGCAGCACCTGCATGTTAGCTTTCAGTGGCTTATGAACAAGGACACCTATGTCTCTTTGGACATCAACACTTCCCAATCGCTCACAATTTAAGAAATACTTGATACCTCTGTTCCTCCTTACAAGTATCCACATTATATTTCACCAGCTTATGTTTTTGCCTACTGACGGGGGAGACAATGGCCTTGTGGTATTATCACTGGACAGTTAATCCAGAAACCCAGGTAATGTTCTGGGGACCTGGGTTTAAATCCCTAGTAGATGGTAGATGATGGAATTTGAATTCAGTAAAGATTTGAAATTAAGAGTCTCATTGTCAATTGTAAGAAGAACCCATCTGTTCACTAATGTGCACCTTTAGGAAAGCAAAGTACCATCCTTACTTGATCTGGCCTCAGGGTGACCCCATACTCACAGCAATATAGTTGAGTCTTAACTGCCCTCTGGACAATAAATGCTGGTCTAGCCAGCAATGCCCACATATGATTTTAAAAAAAACCGTAACAGCCTGTCCAAATCTGCATGAAACCTCTTTGCACCTTCCTCATTCATAAGATCAGAAGTGGGGATGATCACTGATTATTGCACTATCTGAGATTTCCACCTAGTTTTGTGTCCAGCGCAAAATGGGAATTATATGTGTCAACACATTTGGTATTGGCTGCTCAATTTCTATCTGCTATGGCTGGATAATGTGGATAAATTGTAGGATTAGTCATTTGAAGCAAACATTCCAATTTGCCTCCGTGATTCGGAGGGAGTTCTGGCCCTCTCTTTCCCCATTTGGCTTTAGACATAATAGATAACAGATAATAGATCTTGAACGACAAGGCCAACTTATGGTTTCTCTTCATTCGTGCAGGACTAATTTGTAAAGTTTAATACCCGTTAAACTGTTTAATGATGTATAAAGGTGATGGGTGAGCAGAGCCCATTACTTTTAGACATGGCTGAAGTTGACAAGTTCTGTGAGCATCATGGTCTTATTTAAACACGCATTTAAATTAGACAGTTAACTCCCAACATTCCGAAAAATAGGCTGGCTAGTAAACCTCACTATAATGTGACCAAACGATGTGGTTGCTGTCTTGTTAGAGAGAGAACACTGGTGGTGGCCTAACCTGAGTGTTACCATTTCTAAGGCCAAGGGAGAGGTTGAGAAGGAGAGTCCTTCATAGTAACCTTGACTGGTGAGGGAATTTAACCCATGCTGTTGGTGTCACTCTGTATTGCAAACCAGCCTTACAGCCAAGTGAGCTAACCAATCCAAATTGTAGTAAACTACAATGTATTGCAAAGTACTGGTGCTTACGACCATTGAATCAGTTAAAATCATTCTTGTTGGATTGTAGCATCTTCATCAGCATCATATAAATTTGAAGTGTTATTGCATTAGTAACTCATCAATGAAATAGGGGATATTTTTAAAATGTAAGTAGGTGAAGATGTTACAACATATTCTAATGGATTGTTAATGGAAAATGGTAGTATGAAACAAAATACTGTAGATGCCTGGAATTTGAAATAAAAGCAAAAAAATACTAAAAATACTAAGAATACTCAGCAGATGAGGCAGCATCCATAGAGAAAAACCAAGCTAATATTTCAGCTTACCTTTCAGGTGAACTTTCATTGTTCTGATGTTAAATGGTAAAAGTAATTTTAATTATGCTTTCAACTTCAATTGCATAAGAATATAATCATATGGAATACATTTTTTTGAATTACAACATGCTGAATTCAGATCGTGTTTGTATTAATTCTTTTAAATTTATGCAGTTATTGGATGTGGGCATCACTGGAAAGACTAGAATTAATTGTCAACCCCTAATTGCTAGTAGCTCAGTGGATCACAAAACATTCGAGAGAGCAGTTTAGAGTCAGTCACTTTGCGGTCAATCAGCTGTCATTTTTAGAGACTGGGTAAGCTCAGTAATTTTCCTCCTGTGAAGGATGTGAGTGAACCATTCGGGTTTTTGTGACAATATGGTGGTAGAAGATCTAGTAACTGGGCATTTTTCACAATCTTCAGTTCATGGGCAGATGAGATCAGATCACATCAAAGCTTTTGTAGATTAAGTAAATACAATGCTAACATTTATGTAATGGTTATTAAAAGCTTTACCATGTTGCCTTGAGGCACTTCAATCTTATGTCTTTTATGTATCTGCATTATTAATACATGCATAGAATTTATAACGGAGGAAATAAATGCTAGCCCAGCCAACGATGCCCATGCCTCACAAGTGAATACAAAAAATAAGGCCATTTGACTAAACTAGCCTGTGCTTGCTGTTGTTAATACCCCCACTTGAGTCTCCTCCTATGCCATCCACCATTTTTCAGCTGAACTTTCTAGTCATTTTCTCACATCGTTTTCTAGCTTCCCACTGAAAGCATTGAAACTGTTTGTGTCAAGACAATTTAGTTAGCACATTCCACATTCTAACCGCTCTCTGAATAAAAACATTTCTCCTTGTATCCTTGTTGGTTTATTAGTAATCATCCTTGAATTTATGGCTCAAAGTTTAGGATTTGCCCCACGAGGGGAAACGTTGTGTGGAATTTTCTCATGAGACCTTTGCTCAGGGGTGTGACAGGTTTTCCTGTGTGATTACATCCTTCTCAACTCATTACATATGCACTGTTATGATCCCAGTCGACATTAATAGCGAACAAATCCGATTCCAGAGAGAAACCTGGCTTCTTAGATCCTAACTTTTTTTAAACCATGGAGTTACTAAACTTATCACAAGAGATTGCCATCCACATTAAACACACAATAAAACATTTATTAAAAGGAAAAAAAATTGAATTACATTATACCGGACAAAACAAAATATTGGAAAGATATTTAAGTATAGATATAAGCAAAGATTCAGATTTATCCCAGATATATCGCAGCAATATCTATGCAAGCACCTAAACTTCAGTGAAGCATTAACATTATCTGCATTCTATGACTTCATCTCAGACTCTGGCTGGTACAGCTGCAGCCTGTTTCATGTTGGCACATTTCTGTGCAGCCACTAAATGCTTTTTCCCTTTGTCTTGCGTAGAAACATAGAAAATAAGGGCAGGGATATGCCATTCAGCTCTTATAGCCTGTTTTGCTGTTCATTATGATCACCACGGGATCATCCAACTTGGTCCCTTTAGCCTAGGAACTATATCTAACACCTTATTGAAAACATTCCGTGTTTTGGCCTCAATGGCATCTTTTGGCAAAGATTTCCACAGGCCCACCACTCTCCATGTGCTTTAATTTTACATGCTAATCTCTTATATGGAATTTTATCAGACACCTTCTGACATCCACTGGTTCTCCTTTATCAACTCTACTAGAAACACAAAATATAATTTAAACTTAAAAAGTTATACATCGACCTTAACACTATAAAATACCAAATCTTAGGGGCAGAGAGTTGGCTCCAACTCCAACGTTTGGCTCCAACGTTCTAGTGTAATATTTAAAAGGCACCCAAACTCTGTAATCCTGGAACGTCACTCAATCTCCATTCATCACTTTCACCCACTTCGGAGATGTCAGACACCAGGCAAATAGCTGTGCCTCACTTTAGTAATGCCTACCTATATGAAGGCTGTTCAGGCAAGAAGTGGAATTTTTCTTTTCGGTCTTTGAATGGCACAAGAGGTCATCCTGACTGACAAAGCGAGTCTAGAAGGAGGTCAGTGCCTGTGGGCAGTTCAAGAAAACCTGACTCCTAAAGCTGCAAGAGCATGAAATGACCTGTTGTGCTCTGCCAGAGTATGTACCACTGTCAATGCTTCATGCTCCTATGAATGTGAATTAGCATCATAAGGTTAAAACTACATAGGACAGGTACCTCCATCAGATGCCTCATATGCAGTCAATATCCATCATCTGATTGCAGCTACCAATGTCACATTACTGCTGTCATAATGGTAATGACCCTTACACTTGCCAGGATTCACACTTAAAACATGAAAAAAGAACAATTGCACTCAGCACCTCATGTACCATCAGCTCACTGACTTTCATTACAACTAAGAAAATGTTCATTTTTCACCAAAGCTTGTATGGGATAGAATTCAACCACAAAAGGTGACATTTTGAGTTGAGCTCCCTTTCGTATTTAGCTTCATTTGCTAGTCCTGGTCAGGTTTGCTGGTATCAGCTAGTGTGGCTGAGTCACTTGAGCTGGCTTGCTTGCTCAGTTAGACTTCATCCATTACACTGTGAGCACTTAACAACAACAGGCCAGACTGTGTATGACTGAGACTTCTCATGAGCTAATCACCATGCAGAGGTTTCACTCCTAACAAGAAGCATATGCACAAAGAGCAGGTTTGATATATGAACCATCCAAATGACCAAAGAGGTTTCTACTCACCAGAGCTTGGAAGAAGAACACCCTGCTGGATTCACACCTCATAAATATAATTAGATTTGTAAACGGGCAAATTTACAATTTTTGGCTCACAAAGTTGTGCCTGTGAATGTAATTGCAGTGGCCTGGGTATTGATGAATATTCATGACCAGATAATGAATGCAAAACAGGTCATAACCCAACCCACCTAAAAAGTTTCAGAGATAGCAGGAACTGCAGATGCTGGAGAATCTGAGATAACAAGGTGTCGAGCTGGATGAGCACAGCAGGCCAAG